CGTATCTGCAGTGTATTTGAAGAAGCCCTACTACTTAGAGTAGGTCGAAAAAGAAATGGGAGAGTTGCCTTCTCCTTTAGATACATGCCTGAGGAGAGGATTCGTTAGGTTTGAAATCACTGCCAGCTCAGATGCTGAAGTCTCTCATGGCTAAAGAATTTATATTAGAAATTTCAGTCAAAAGAAACAGGACATACTCCCGGCTTTTGGGACAAATTTTGCTTGTTTCTTATGCAGTGCCACTGTGAGGTCTGACACTGAATGTCTGCTTAGAATGACTTTATATTTGATGTCACTCAACAAGTTTGTTGCTTTGGTCAGTTTTATTGTGGTTTTCCCTGTCTTAACTGGTTGTCCTCTAGCCAAGGAACATTTCACATTCTGTGTAGTGATAAATGATTTTTTGTTACCTGGATGGAATAAAATAGAGACAGAGCATCTCTGAAATGGTGTCTCAAATCTATGAATCTGTTGTTAGAATGATCAATATTCATGCAAATGTAATACTGCATTTCAGATCATATGCACAGTTTCTAAATTTTCATGAAAAAAGCCCCGATTAATCCATTAGAATCCATTTGACTCAGTGCAACTCAATCACTGCCATTTTTTTTGAGCAAGCAATTTCTGACTGGTTTGTATAACAACAGAGATGGCTTGAACCTATAATTTTACCACTTAACTTGCTGCGACCTGTGTCAGCTGCACGTGCCACTTGAAAGATCTTTGACTGCTGTCTTACAGTGAAGAAACTTGTGCAAACTGTCACTTGAAATACCAAGGTGTGATTACTTACTTAAGCTACAGCTTGCTGAGCATGTTGTATGCACACGTTTTGTACCTGCTGTTCATTATTGCTATTCTAGATTCCGTATGGATCAAAAGAACTCAGCAGGTCCAGCTGTCACAAGAGTCATTCTATTCTGACTCTTTCAGTGAAAATGAATTTGCTATTCCTGATACACAGATTCAGCTGTAGTAAGCCATTGTTATTCAGAAAGAATCAATTTCATATGTGTGGTGAATGCATAGGTAAAGTGGAAATCTATGAGGAGAACATATTTTGTAGGCAAAGAACTGTTCTTTTACATCCTTTTTGAAAAGGACTAGGTTTTACTAGTGCCACTAAAAGCATTGTTCTATGAGTAGAACTGCAAAGTTCTGTTGTAGTTGTTAGTGTCCCAGTGTTAGTTTATGTAAAAGAAGCAGAATTTTGCTGAAGTGAATGGTTTTTGTTAGACCCATATGAGTTCTTATTTAAGATATACCCAGATAACACTTTCCAGTTCTTTCTTCTGTTTTGAATAGTGCATATAAAAACAATCAGATTTGAATGTGACTTTCAATGTAGATAAAGATTTGTTCTTTCAATAGGCTGAAAATATTTTCAGAAGAAAGTGTTCCTCTCTTTGGGCCTCCCCTTCCATCCCCACCTGTGTTTACAGATCATCAGGAATTCAGGGATTTTGTGTTAGTGAAATGTAAGTAATGTTTTCTTTTGCTAGAAACACTTTTTTAATAAGTGCTTTAATAAATTGAAATTCATAATACTTAAAATGTAAACACATTTGTTTGTGTATGCTGCTGTTCTGTAGAGAATTTTTTTTCAAATATGTAGGGTGGGTGGGATGTCAGTTCTATCAATCAGATTAACAGAAAACTGAATTTCTATGCAATTATGCTTCTCAGGCTATTAGATACAAACTTACTTTTACATTTGCAGAATGTACAGCCATATTTAGCTTTGCATTTTCTTAAAGAACTTGGGGATCTGAAAGAATTTATAATTCTGTTCCATATTTAGTAATAGAAGGTGTTAGGTTAGCAGCTCTGAAAACCTGGAAATATAAGCTTTTCTGAATGCATACTGCATAGGTGCCTTTTGGCACCTTTTAGAACTTAAGTCTGTAATGATTCAGTTCCAGTTTTCACTGACCCTTACTTTCCCTTCTAAATCAGCAAGAAGAAGTCTTTAAGAACTGATAATGATTATTACAATAAGATGCTTATCTGACAGGGACTTGACCAATAACTCATTTCACATATTTAAATTGTTTTAGTACTTAAATTGATTAGCAGTTTGTCTTTAATTTTTTCATTAGTCAGGAGGTTATTGGGATGCCTTGTAGAATTCTCCTGTTAGTATGTTTTTTTTCTTTTAAGCTTAAAGGATCATTGTTCACTAAAAAATGTGCAAAAAGGAAGCAACTCTAAATTACTAAGGGGAAAACAGGTATTTTTGTACAGAAGCAAACTAGAGTCAGTGGAAGTTGTCAGAGTTCATTTAGGTAATGTATCTGCTTTTCAATAATATTTTAGTAATAAATGGGGAAAAAGCCACCTTAGAAACCCCAACATTTTCTCAGAAACGTCAACGCACTCTAGACATGCTGATCCGTTCTTTATACCAAGACCTGATGCCTGATCTACACAAGGTAAATGTAAGTCAGAAGTTTCTGCATCCCTCGCACGTGCTCTGCTGTTCTCACTAGTAGATTGAGTGTTCCTTTGCTGTCAGACTGATTACAGTCATTAGGACTGTAATCCTAATGAGCACTGAATTGTATACACTAGGCTAAATACCAATTGTATCACTTGTTTTACAGTTACATGAAACGTGACAGTCCTTTCAGGACAGAACTCTTCATGCATTTGTTTAAGCCAGGTGTGAGAAGTATGATCATGTCATACTTTGTATAAGCTTAGCTGCAGCAAGGGTATAGGAAATTCAGGCTCTGCAAATACAGGTATTAGTCTTGTCACCATAAAAACTGCACCTACTCAGTTATATGTAGATTTCGATCATTTTTGCCCTTGGGTAACAGTGAGATTAACTTCATTTTACATTATGAAGACTTATTCTTAAAGTGGTTCTTAACTAACTAAAAGGAAGTTCAATACTTCTAAAATTATCAAGGTGCTAATTTTTCCCCACTGTTTATTTCTCTTAGCTAAATAGATCTGCTTAAACTTTTTTTGTCCATATGTTCATGTCTGTGGTCTTTGGTACGATTGTATACAACATGACAGTGATGATCTATGACAAGTTGGAAAGTAAAGTGCTCAAGGATTGAAAGAGTTGCAGTTTCTGTTTTCTGAGAAGCTACGTAGTTAGATTCATCACTACAGGAAAATATTGAAAAAAAGACAATTTAAATGCTGTCATATCAAGGTGACTGAGGTTAAAAGATTATGAAAAATTTTGGTTCAGTTTAAAAAAGAAATGTTTTCTGGTTTAGAATATGCTCAATAGGAGGTCCTTCAGTGATGTGTTACCCGAGTCCCCAAAATCAACACGGAAAAAAGAGGAGGCCCGGCAAGCAGAGTTTGTCCGACTTGGTCAGGTAGGATCAATTCAGGAGGTGTTAGCCTGTGTTTACAAACACTGTGTCACCCCTTTTGTTAGAATTTGACTAGCTTGCAGAGTTATATCAGGACTTAATGCAGTCCTCTGTGTCTGGAAATATTTTGTTAGTATTGCATTAGTTTAAGCTACGTTAAGGTAAAATATGAGTAGAAGTATTTATCTGTAACACCTGAGGTACACAACGCAATTGTAAGTATTTATAAAATATATAAGCTAAAGGCAAGTTGGAAAAAATCACACCTTGGGATCAAACCTAAGAGGTCTTTCCTTTCTTTGTGCAGTAGATGCTTTCTGCCTCGAAGCAGAAGAGTGTTCTGTCTTTTTCTGTGCTTTGGAGAAACATAATCTTTCATGTTTTATTAAGATTGAATTTCTTTGAAATTAGTTACGCTACTTTAGCCAGGAAGAAGTTTCAACAGTCTTGCTGCTACATCGGAGGTTGGCACACACCTTTGAACATACCAGGCGCTGACTCCAATCTTCTGTGGGCCTGCTGACATTTTGATTCAGTGAGGAGTAAAACTTCCTAACAATTTTGATCTGATGGTTCATTGCAGCAGAAAAAAAGACGGTGCCTATGCTCATCTGTTCCTCTGTCCCTTCCTGCTTGTCTCTTCTTGAGCCTGGACTGGTGACATGGTTCTGCTGCTTATTTTAAGAATACCTCTTTTCTCAGCTGATTTAACTCAGCAGGAGTTGACAGAGCAGGAAACCAAAACAGGAAAAAATGGAACAAAACAAACTAAAATTAAACACCACCACCACCAAAGCCCAAGCCTTCTCTCTTCCCTCCCATTTTTTCAGCTGAATTAGTCATCTAAAGAGTAGAAGAGTCTGAGAAGTTCCAGATCCGGTTAAAGGCAGAGAATGGAGGCGGGTGGTGGAGAGCTGGGGCAGAATAATCTCAGGGCTGTTAAAGCTTGCACTGGCAGGGCTGCAAAGTCTACTCCTCTGTGCTTTGCCCACCCTTTCCCCAACAACCATGAAATACCTAGTCACTCTAGGTAGGTGTAAAAAAAAAAAAAAAAAAAAAAAAGAATGTAGTTGTAATGGTCAAACAGAAGCAACCAATTATTTCAATTATTTATTCCCCGAGTTTACTAATTATTTTACAGAAGTTAAAGAAAAACATGGTTATTGAAGGTATAGAAACCTATAAGCTTGATCCCCTCCACCGCACCCCCCTCCCCCAAGTTAAACGCTGATAAGATGCTCACGTAACAAGTCTAGTTGAGACCCATTTCTTACAAGGCTTCCATCCCCCAGCATGGTCTTCATCAAAGGGAAACCTAATATGTGGGTTAAAAATTCATAGATACCTGTTTGTTTGTGTTTTTCTTGGAGGTTCTTTTCACACTTAAATCTTTACCTTCCCTAAAAGAACTTTATTCTAAGTTACAAACTGTAGGCTTGAAAACATTTCACCATGCCTTCCAAGTAGCTCTTAATCATTCTTGCCAAACTGTGTGAGTGTGTCTGTCCCTTAGTTATGGTCATTTGAGGTTTTAGATGGTAGACAAAACTCACTGATGACTGGCTCAGCAGTATGTTTCAGTCATTTATTTATTGTCAAGGTGATCTCTACTGACTGGTAAAATGTTAATGCAATGAAGTATTTTATGTGTCCCCGTAAGCTGACAGCCCTGCTTAATGCAAATGTGCAAATGGTGCATGCAGCTGATTACTGCCATTTCACAGAGACCGTGCATGATGGTAGGCAAACTTTAGGGCAGTAAAATTGGTTTAGGTAATTTCTAAACTTTGCATTTAAAGATGCTGTGACAATTCCATGTGTCATCACTTCATAGGAACGCTGCTGTAAAAGTTAGCAATTAAGGTTCATAGAGTACCTTAAACAGACTTATTGTCTGTCTCACTGAAACTGTGTTTATACAGTATTTTTTTAGAGTTCTTAGCCCTTTCAGAATTGGGTTACTTCTAGTTGAAGAATTTGTAATACTGTGACTGTGTGTCCTTGGCACTCCTGGCAGTCTATATATATAGTTTGACTTGGTGGCTTATTATGAAGTTTTGCAAGTGAAAGGCCAGCTTGTGTAATGGATAAAACAGTCCCCTATCCAGCTAGTTTATAGAATGAATTGTGTAGACGACTAATTTGTATGATTGGAGGTGGAGGCTTTTCTCTGTTTGACACTTCTTTTCTGATTTTGAGTTTCCATTTAAACAAACAAACAAAAAACCAAACAACATGCATTTTGGCTGAGAAGATGTCTGGCAGCCCTCTAGTGATTGATGCAGACTCTGTTCAGGATACACAGAATTCCGCCTCTTTCCTAATTACTTGAAATGTGATAGGAATTCCAAACTGGAGTTAGTTTATAGTCCTAAATTGTCCTGTCTTTATAGTCTTTAGCTTGTGTACTGCTGACAAAACTCAATTTAAATAAAACATCTGTTTGTATTAGGCATTGAAATTGAAAACCACTATGAAAGGGGATGCCACAGCTAACTTGGCAAACACAAGCTTTTGTAAAAAGGAGGTGAGTGAACCCATCTGTCTGAGGAGAGTTATGAAAAAATTAAGCGCTATCAAGTATGTTATTGTGTATCAGTTCTGCATACTGTTTTACTTTTGTAATTAGATACTGTAGCAGCAAAGATGAAACGAATAATGTCAAAGTTATTCTGCAGCCAATATTGAATTAATAAAGGATGAACCTGGAGGCAGAAACACTTCTAAAGTTAAAGCAAGTGTGGATATTTTTATATCTGAGAATATTTAGTGAAAATGCCATTTTCCATATGCAGTCGTCTTTAACTTCTGCATCAAGTTTAAAGCAAAATTCAGTTATGTTTTTGTTTCCTGTAGTACCAGAGGCATTAGGGAGTGAAAGATGCAAATCACTCTTCTGAGTGCATCTTGTATACAGAAACTTCAAAAGCGCTTCTAGAATTTCTGAGACTTCAGCTAATATTTAAATTGGGGGAGGAGGGGCAGACTCAGGAGGTAAGTACAGAGAACACATGACAAAAGAACAATTTGGCAGAAAGGCGTTTTTGTCTGCACCATGTGCTAGTGACTAAACATCACAAACAGAGCCATAAAATGTAAGCAAATTGCATAGTATTTCCAGGGTTGCGCTGAGTATTGGCTGCATGTGTTTTAATTCCAGTGTTTCAGGAATGCATCTTACATTTATTAGTCTCTGAACACAATTAATATGGAGAGTGTTTCCTCTGCAAGAAAATCAACTAAATTTTGATATTTCAAATTCAAAAAAGATACTGTTTGGAAATGTATCCTGCCAAAAGCATTTACATGTTGCTACTTGCCATTGTCCATCACATCCTATGTCTGTATGATCTGTATTTCTTAGTGTACTTAATATGTATCCCTTATGTTACTTCATAGCCTTGGGAATCTCAATCTTTCTGCAGTAATTTTCCTCATGAGGTTGTCTGTGCAGATTCTTGGGGCCAGTCCTTACTCGTTTCTACAGATGCTGGCATCTTGTTAATAGATGGTTAGTAAATGATCCAGTGTTTTTGTGTCAATTTCATGTATCTGACCATTTTCGTGAAAATGTATGTTCATAAGCTCTGTTCAGGTGCTGGTAGGTCTTTCC